TTCCCCTCGGTGATCTCCTTTATCAACGTGGCGCCAAAATTCATGCTCTCCGACTCGTAATAGGCGTACTCGGTGAAGCTCAGACCCTTGTACACGTACACCTGCGTCAAGTAGACGACGATGGAGCTGTTGGTCGCTGGAATGTCGGATACATCGATTACCCAGCGGCACTTGATCGGCACGGGGAAAGGTTGGGGGAAATTCGGAGTCNATGATGATATTTTGTAAATTGGAATCTATAGACTCAACAGACAGCAGGAATAATAATAAGTATTCTTGATATTCACATTATTGGAAAACTACTTACATCAGGAATAGGAAGAAGTCATTAATTGCCTTCACCAATACTCAAAATTCTGTATTCGTTTCTCGTTCGATAATATCATTGCACGATAACACGTTATTTCCATGGAACAATGAAAAATTAGTCTCGAATCAAACAATGGATATTGTTCGTTACCACCTACAAATTTGAGAGAAGACACGGACATGGTATCAATTATTTCAACACAGAGAAACAATTTAAAGAAATGAGAAGAATTTGTTTGAATTGAAAAAAAAAGGAATGAAATGTTGAAAGGTTAATATATAAAGGGTGAGCGGTCGAGTCGCACAGGTAACATCTCGATCTTATCTTATCGTCCGTTTTAGGATGATTGAACAATTGGATCTGGAGCCTTTGGGAAGTGTAATCTCGAACGTACGAACCCGCGATCTGTCGGGCAGCTGGGCGTTAGCCCCTTCCGCACAACTGATTCCCCCACGCGCACCCTCAGTGCATCCCCTGCATCCCATCCGTCTTCTTACAGGCCGGTTGTTCTGCGAAGATGCTAGCAATCTCCGACAGGCGTGGAGAGAGATGGAGAGAGAGAGAGTTTACGCGTTTATGTAGTGTAGGAATTATATTGTATAATTTTGAATCGTGCAAAAAAGGAGTGCAGTTAGAGGACGTGTTCTGAATGTCCATGTTTCAGAGGCTGTCGAGTTGAATTTTCAGGAAGATCCAAGAATGTTTGGTGATTATGTGTGATTAGAAGATTTCACTGGGGAAAAAAAAGAAGCAACAGGATTATATTTGTACGAATATTAACGAGTATGTGCTTATATATGTATATATATATATAT